AAAAAAAAAAAAAAAATAAAAAAGGGGGAAAAAACATTGGAAAAAGGATCCCCACTCAAACTTATACCTGAGCAAAATGTACTAAAAATTTCCGAGCTGTACTAAAACCAGATGACTTCAGGGTTACCTCAACCCAGGTAGTACCAATTGGTACTTCGACAAATTTGCGCTCAATGTGACCTGCAATCAAATGAAGAATTGAAATCCCACACCTCCAGTCACATAAAAATTTGTTTGGAGTACATAGTCAGGATATAAGGGGGAGAAGGAAGAGAAGAAGTAAAATAAGGGTAGGGATATAAAATGGAAGAGTGAAAGAACGAGTCAACTACACCCCACTTTTAATCCAAACTTCAATCAAATCTAGGAGTGAACAAATTACATGTCATTATAGGAAAATTATGATATTTCTGTGATAAATATAATTAGCAACTCCAGGAAGCCTTCCAACTCAAATTCTAATATTGAAAAGCTTAAATAAAGGAACACCAAAGCATCATATAATTTTGTAATGGAATCTTTTGGGACATTAATAACCATCCTACATGTAACAAGAAACATAACATGTTGTTGGTAACAACTAAAATTAAGAAATCGGGCCCAAACTTCCCAAATTTCATTTAAGTATGATATACCTGGTACAAATGGCATCCCTTGGAACTGGATAAAAGGCGGTCGGTTTACCACTGGTTGAGGTTTTGCGATGGTGACAGGAATCCGGAAGAGAGGTCCACGCCAGGGAGCTTTACAGTCTAATGCATAGACTTCAAAATAGTGTAGACCACTGGTGAGAGTGGTTGAATCCACAATTATGCTGAAAAAGAAAGGACAGCCGTGCGCATTATAAACTAACAACAAATTTCAGGGTGCTTTAAAGTGAGCTAGGTGAGAAGGCCACATCAATATCATGCACAATAAACTAACAAAGATAAGCATTAAACAATATGCTGACCAAAAGTTCATGTGTTTCTGCTATAATTAACAAAGATTGACACTTTTATCTCTCTCAGTAGCTGAAACTTTCTCATGTGTGTATAAAACACACCCACTGAGCAGTGAGTCTGGCCTCAACGATTCATAATCAAATTCTTCTAGCTATGTGATACATGCCCCATTAAGAATCAACTTATAATTAACATTTTTATAAACACGTGATAATCAAGTATTATTTTAAACAGGAATCATGTTTATCAAAAGACGACAACCAGAAAAGCATCTGACCAATTCGGAAGGTCCTGTTTCACCCCATTTGTGGGCTCTCCCTTTCCCACCCAGAAAATGTAAAAAATAAATAAATAAATAAATAATAGTAGTAAAAACTAAGGCATCCAAAAACGCATGCGTACACAAACACAATAACTGAAAGGAGGTAGAATGAGAGGTGAAAACTGACTTGAAGTTCTGGCCGTTATGAGTTAGGAGAAGATACTCGGGAGCTCTCACCACTGGCTCTCCAGTGGAATGTAACTTGACACATTCTTCAAAACGCACAAGTTGGTCTAAGTTGCTTGCATCCTCATGAAAGTTTGGTTCCACTTTCACCACCCACTAAGCGAACAAAATTATCATGACTCAATCATAAGACTAAATATACGGATGAATAAGCAGACATAAACCACTTTAATCATCCTCATTCCACCAAAATAAACCACAGTTCACAACATAGTGGAGAGCATAGGAAAGCATTTATTGTCATAATTAAGTGTGAAAATAGCCAAGATAAAGATAAAATCTCTGGCCAAATATGTAAAAGATAATTTATATGTCATCAACATATACATGCAAAAAACATCCAATTAAAATGTTGTTAAAGAAAAATTAGAGGGAAAGGAAATTTCCATATAACAATTTCTTACCTCGGTTGATTTTTTACATAAATCAGCTTCCCTAAGGTAGATGCCTCGTGAGGTAGGTGCTGCATACAAAAGAAAATATTAAAGACAACTGTACATGATTGCGTAAACAATATGACCACATAACAAGAAAGCGTACATACAATGATGAATAATAAAACATTAAATACTTAAAAAATCATGCTCAAAAATGTTGATCGTGTAACCAAGCAAGCATTGTAATATCAAAAAATCTACATCCGTTACACTGACATACACGGTGAGGAATATTTACCCACATGATTTTCCAGATTGCTTGATCTTTATTTGATACCAAACAGATGGCACATCACGTAACTTCTGAATGTAATCATAAGCCCTGTCATCCAATCATGAAAAAACCTAATCACAGTGGGCTCTATTAAAGTATTAATAATTGCAGGCAAAGAACAGAAACTCTAGAGTAGCAAATCTGACTTGTCAACTTGCATCAGTCCTTGGCCAGCAGATAATTTATCTTCAGGAGAACTGCCAACGGGAACAGATGTATTCTCAAGAGCCTCCCGTACACTATAAGGACTTACAGGAACCCCTTCAGCCTGAAAAATCCAAGCTTTCATTTCCAAGTCCCAGGAAAAAAGGGAAGAGAGAAAAAGACACAACAAATGGAACCAAAATATGAGTTGTTTTAGAAACACAAACTACCTTCATGGCACTGAGAAGCAGAGCAACACCTCCAGAAGCACATGGAGATGACATTGATGTTCCATTCATAAACCTGCGATGTTGAAGTGTCCAAGTAGGAACAGGAGCCATGGCGCCACCAGCAGCACTAATACAGACTCCAAGGTCTCCGTCAGCCGTCGGTCCTCGACTAGACCTACACCACTTTGCAGTAACGGGTCAAAATAAATACTATAGATACCATATGATTACAGAGAGAATTGTAAATCACTGACTTTTGCTAACATAGATAGAGATCAAAACAAATTACCACGTATATTGAAGTCCTTCAGGAGGAGCTTCAACTAAGTTGTGGGCTCCCGCAGCCATTGCAGGAGAAACATAAGCTCCGACTCCTATAATACTTGATGTTGTACCACCAGGTGCACCCACAGTGCTCAATGCAGGCCCATCATTACCAACACTACCAATGAATATCAATTTATGCTTGTTGACCACCTAAATTCCAAAGAAGTCCAGTAATGCGTGCAAGGAAATACCCAGTGTAGCAATTCTCCAAAATTAACAGATTGCGAAACTTACCTCGTTTACTAAGTCAACAAAGCGACCATAATCAGGAAACACAGTAGCGTCCCCACAACTCATGTTTATAATATCACATCTGTGCTGTACAACGTAACAAGAAATCAATATCTTACATTCTTAATATTTGTGAGGGATGCACCTTGGGTCGCTACGGAAACAGCCTCCTTGTATAATTACAAGGGTAAGGTCTGTGTACAACTGACCCCCCAGACCCCAACCTGTTGGGAATATACTGGGTATGTTGTTGTTGTTGTTCTTAATATTTGTGAGGGCTATCACAGAAGCATTACTAAAGATAAATGCTATATGGTAGGTCAGTAAAAGGAGCAAGATTAAAAATGGTAAGTGTTACAGCATGATTATAAATTATAAATTATCAGGAAGACTACTTTAAGTTGTTTATAAATAGCAATAGGAAGTGAACTTTCTGCAATAAGCATAACTGTGTGAGTTAATTACCTCCACAGCAGCAATCAGTGCTCGGACAAAGCCAGTCCCTGTTAACATCTTGCCAAGTCTTGAATCTTGAATTTTGCATGAAATCAACTGAGCTCCAGGGGCAACTCCATTTAACAAAGGCTCCTAAATGATGATAACTTGATGTGAAAATGCAAATACATAATTGATCTTAACTTTATTTGTTATAGTGATTTATTCTATATTACCTTTGGATGGTAGGCAGATGTGATACCAGCAACATGAGTACCATGGGGAGAACAGTCTGTAACAATACTCAAAACATTGCCTTCATTGTACACATTAAGAACACATGTACATGCATCTAATTTACTGAAGATTCCATACTTCCGCTCAATCCTACAACAAAAGTTGCAAGATTATTATATTTTGCAGAAAGAAGTTAATGAAATTGTTACTTAATGGGTTGCCAGCTTGATAAGCATTTAAGATGATGAGAAATGCTGGAAATGAAAAGAGGAGTAGCAAGAAAGCAATAAGCAAGCATATCTATCCATACAAAAGTTACAAAGAAATTCAATTTAAGATCCTACGATACCTATAATTAGTCAGAGGAACAAAGTCAGCAAGTTTCCCACATTCTGAATCATCCTCGAGACTCTGAGTGTCAAGAGCAGCCCTCCAAACTTCACCATCATGCCACACAACAGCATCGATAACAGGTCCTTTGTCATAATAGCTCTACAAGATATAAGCATGGTAATTTTACACAGGTCATACAGAATTGATTACAGAGGAATGAGGTTGAATTTGACGAATAAGGGCAATTTACATCAGCCTGCTTGCGTAGAAGATCAACTCTGCTCTGGAGATCTACTCGTTTCTTTTTCAAGTTTGCATCATCATCAACCTTTGTGTGTCTCTACGAGTTGAAAGGTATATATTGGACAGGAAAAATATTAAAATTTCACAGAGGTCATTTGGATGGATGAAAATGAAATCATCATTTACCAACTAATCAATAAATTATCTCTTGGAAACCACTCTATCACTCATTTTCTTCCACTAACCTAAAAGATAATGATAGGCAACTGGATAGGAAAAACTCAATATACACATAGTTTTTCCCTGCGTCCTCTCAAATCATCACGCAGAGAACTGCACGTTTGGGTTTTAAATGTTAACTAAACATATCAGTGAAACATCTTCATTGTGCATGCCTAGTCCCCAGCACATAAATGCTACCACCAGACACGCGTCAAATATCATAAACCTAAATTGATGACTATTGCATGGAGCAACTAAGATTGCTATAATAGCAATAGCAAAGGCATTATTAACACCCAAAAATGATAAACAAGAAATGCAGATAAGTCTATGAATTATCTGCATTTCTAGCCTACCCCGACTTGCTTGGGACTAAAGGCTATGTTGTTGTTGTTGTTGCAGATAAGTCTATGAATGCTTCACTAAAAGTTAAAATAATAATAATAATATAATAATAACACGTTAAATTTGATTTTTAACTTTGGCATATGATGCTGCACAGAATAATTGACAGGATAACCAGATTATTAAATACCTTGTCAAATTCACCAAGCTGTTTCACCGCCTCAGCAATTGCTTCGTGATTTTTCTCATCCCATTTTTTCTTCCTCTCTTTCTTCGCACAAACAGTAACCACAAAACAACGCAAAATGTTAGAACACTGATGAAATAAAGGGATATAACCAATCAAAGTCTTGTGTAGCGTACTATCGAAACTAAATGAAATGTCACCAATAAATAATATGGTTACCTTCAATCGATCCGTTAGTGTGTTTGCAAAAAGCTCATAAACCAACTTATAGCCAACACGCCATTCTCCTGAAGGGTTTTTCCATGACGAATTTACAACCAGGGAATTTCCTGGAATTGGCCACATTCATCACACAGGGAAAATGCATGATCAGGTAATTTTTGGAATCCAAGTTCTAGTGCACAAAAATAATTAAATAAAACCAAACTTGTGTACAAATGAGGTGCATGGAAATCAAGAATACAGACCAGAGGTCCCATGGATGCGCCCGTCATTATCTGCCTTCACAACAGTCGACGTATCGATATCCCCACTCCCAGTACTGTGAAAGATACAAATTGTCACATGAACAGATCAACATTTGAGATGAAAAATGACATAAACTACATAAATTCACGCATAACCAATCAAAATGACAGTGTTTTGGATCACCCCACACACAAGCCATAACAACAGAAACTCACAAAAGCCACCATCAAATGAAGAATAAAATACAAATATGCTCATTATGCATTACATTCCCAATTGCATAAACACTAACATGAAGACACACAATATCCACACTGGACAATTTCTCCCACCTCTTTTCTCCTTCTGCATTTTTATCAATCATTACAAACTTTCACCCACATACCAATCAATGACATCTAAAATCTTCGGCTTTCCATCCGAAGTCACTTTCAATCCAGCAGCCGCCGGGTCCACTCCAGAATCTATCACCACCATCAACAACAAAAAAGAGAACACAAAAACAGAAGAACGATCAAAACACTTCGTTTGCAGAAATCAAGAACACCAGAATCTATCACCACCATCAACAACAAAAAAGAGAACACGAAAACAGAAGAACGGTCAAAACACTTCGTTCGCATAAATCAAGCAAAATTAAAACGACTCTGCCAAAACAAAAGAATGCAGACCAAAAATGGCGATAACCACGCCGCGGCCGTCGTACTCGGAGTGCGCCTCCAGGAACCGATCGGCAGCGATTTCCTTCTTCGGCATGAGCGAGGCCAAAAACGTCGACTCGTTCAGCTTGAACTTGCCGTCGGAAGGCATCGCCCTGGTCCTGAAACCGCCGCCAGCAGCATCCCCAGACCAAAGCTTGGAGCGAGTGTCAGTGTGGTTTCTCTCTCTAGCTCTGGCCGCGGTGGCGCCGCCGAGAGGCAGAGAGAGGAAGACGTCAGACGTGATTGGGAATTTGTGACATTTATGATTGATGTCGGAAATATATAGTGGGCGTTGCATTGTTTGCTTTTGGACTTACTGAACTAACTTGTTGCAGAAAGGTAATTTAGGTGATTGGGGCGGCTGCGGCCGTGTTTCCGGTGCGGTGGTGGAGCGGAGACGGCGGTCTGGCGGAGGCTGGCAGAGGTGTTTCGTTTGGGTAGGAGTTTCGAATTCAATTGGTTTGAATTGCCTTATCTAACATTTTAGGGATTTTTTATTAGGGGCGGGAAATGGGCCATTTCGGCTCAAATATTTCTGGACTTGTGGTTTCAGCCGGGGAGCCCCACGCCTGGCACGCTCCGGCCCAGCCGCTCTGTTCGACCCGCTCATTCTTCTGGATACACATTTAGCNTTTTTTTTTTTTTTGGTACAAAGAGAGGAGGTCAATGTCAAGGACCATTAGGTAGTTATATTTTGCGGGTGAGCAACGCCAATAACGTTGTGTTGTAGCCACGATTTAACTTCTAATGATGGATCAGATAATCTCTGACAACCACTAAGACAGTAACGCTCTAGAGTCGTCAAACAGTCAACCGCAAAGTTGGCTTCTCTGTAACAATGAACCACTTTAGTCTCTCATTCCCGACTAAGCAGTTCCCGAATGGCCCGAACCAAGCTACCATGCACTCCAAGATTAGCCATTGAGTCCCATTCACCATTGTCACCACACTAGTATTATCTACCTCCACAATAATATTGCGGCAACCCAAATCCCAGACTAATAAAAGGCCTTGAAGGAGGTCCATAATTCTGCTTCAGTGATAGAACAATGTCTGATATTCATCGTGAAGCCTCCAAGCCAATGCCCATCGGCATCACGCGCTAATCCCCCTGCCGACGCCATCCCGGACGAGTTCAAATAGGATCCATCAGTGTTGATTTTAACAAACCCCACTCCAGAAGCTTGCCAACTAATGAACTGGATTCCACGTCCCACTCCAAGTCCTCCCAAGTGTCTCTCAGCAGAAGCGGCTAACTTAATCCCATGAACAAATGAGCTAACCTCACGAATTTTATTAGCCGCGACTTCCTTGTCCTATTTTTCCTCTCCAAATTTGCCACATCATGACTCCAAAAACGTCTCCCATCCAACAACCTCAATAGCTAAATCATTTTGAAGATTCTGCATCAGCCAATCACGTAACTCCAAGTTAAAAAATTCCGTTTGTTGGCCAGTAGGGATCAAGCTCCTCCAAACCTATTTTGCACCCAAACAATCACGAAGATAATGCAGGGTTGATTCATCATGTCGCCCACATAATGAACAAGTCGACGACCCTGTGAGATGTCTCTGTCGCCTTTCAACAGTAGTCAACAATTTTCCTTTGGCAGCAAGCCAAAGAAACTGGCGTACTCTCTGCGGACCAATCCGTCTCCAAATAATCCTCCATAAAGCTCAATCACTAGTCGGAGTTGTTGTAAACAACAGGGAATAAGTTGACTTTGTTGTAAAACATCCATTCTCCAAAAATCCCCAATACATTGACAAAATGGACAATATGGGGGGGAGGGGGGGTGGTCTACAAATGTTTCAATTACATTTGGTTAGTGACGGTACCATTTATATATGCATACTCTTTTAGACTAAATGTCATACTCTAAAAATAATATAAATACAAATATGAAATTTCATAATATAAATATACATTGTTATTAAAAAAAAATGTGACAAATCGATCCACTAACGATTGTATAGTCTCACATAAGAACTTATAATATTTAATATCTGCCAGCATGTCATATTCTTTTTTTTATATATATAAAAGTCCAATATAATAAAAAAAATGAAAATTTGCCTCGAAAATTGACAAGAATTTTAGGTCCAATAATCTATTCCAAATTATGAACAAGATTCTTGTCTAACCTTATAGAACGTGATTTTTTTATTTTTTTTTCAACCACTTAAAATGACATTTGGTGCTCCATTAAAAAAAATTACTACAATACCCGCGTACTACACACAGGTGATAAGTTAAGAAATATATGATAAAAGTTATTGTTACACTAAAAATTATATTTTAAAATTTTGATGGACTAATTGAGGAGAAATTGATTCAACATCGGCTGAGGTGGTTCGGACAATTCCAACGGAGGCCTCCTGATGCACCGGTGCGTAGGGGAGTTCTACAACGGGTCGATGACGTAAAGAGAGGTAGAGGTCGGCCTAAACTCACTTGGGAAGAGCCGGTTAAGAGAGGCCTTAAAGATTGGAATATCTCCAAGGATTTAGCGGTGGATAGGAGCGCCTGAAGGCTAGCAATCAACGTGCCAGAACCGTGACTTTTGCTCATTTCTCTTTTGCTCCAATCTCTTCCAATTGTTTTGAGCCCTTTTTGTGTTTCTCTTACCCTTGGTTCTCTTGGGTTTCATCTCTAGCCTACCCCAACTTGCTTGAGACTAAAAGGCTATGTTGTTGTTGTTGTTGATGGACTAATTGATGAAAGAAATTGATTTGTAAATCGTAATTTACGAGAAAAATATAAGAGAAAATTATAAGATGGTAAAATTGCTACTTACCGCAAATTAAGAAAAGAAATTTTTACTAAGAGACAAAAAATAACAAAATTAAATGTACACTTACAAAGTTTGAAAAAAGTTATTTATGTCTCTACCAAGCTTAATTCTAGAGCAAAAATGAATACACAAACAACATTCTGAAGCATAGATTTTCGCCATGTCAGCATCCAAAGCGTGTGAGTATGCCACTTAGGCTCAACACGTTTTGAGTCTAAGTGGCAGTCTCACACGTTGTGAATTAATATATAGAGAGAGATTATAATGTTCCGCACACCACATTATTTTTTTGCTTTATTAATTCAACAATAAATGTTTAATAAAGGGATTTTATGCAACTTCTATTAAAAAAATGTCTCCATCAACAATAGGAGAAAAAGTTTGAAATAAATCAGCTTAATAATCTATACTTATATTAAAAGGTATACTACCATTTATGAGATTTAGTATAAAAAAAATCAACAACATTTATTGCATTATTATTTTCGTATTATACAATCTATACTTATATAAAAGGAGATTCTATTTACTATATTTACTATCCAGAAAAGTCAACTGCATTAAATGTCATTACTATTTTGGTATTATAATATTTTATTTATTTAATTGATTTATTTATTTGTTTTATTTTAAAAAGGTAAGTATAATAAAAAGATTTAATAATAAAAAAATTAAATACCAAATAAAAATGTACACTTTGACTTATTTGATTATATTTGGCATTTGATTATACCAAATATATTCCTATTTAGTATATATATTAAATACTTACTAAAGTATTTATTTGTTTTATTTGTCAAAGTTAAGTATAGATTTGTTTATATTATCAAACAAAAAAAAGAATATTAAATCCATATTGTAAAAAAAAATCATATAATTTCATAACAATTCTACTACATTATTTAACAATATTTATTTTTTATTATATAATAAAATAATAATTAAATATTATATGGTGAACAACAATAAGTAAAACTGTTACTTTCTCTTATATCAAGGGATAAATTTATATGATTAAATTTTGATTAGTATAAATGTTTTAGTGAGATAATATATTAATTATTTTACAAGCTAGCCTAACATGCTCAAATTTAATGTTTTAAAAGATGTAGAAAAAAACTTATAGTAACTCTATTTTTTTTAGACTTAAACGTTGATTAAAAGAGGTAAAAATTCCTAATTTTTTAGACTTAAACGTTGATTAACACCATAGATTGAGAGTTTATATTTAGTAAAATTCCTAAATGTACTAAAAAAATTAATTTTTGTTATATATTAGAATATCTTTAAATTCATTATAAAAAAAAAAAACTACAATGAAAAAAGCAAGTCAGCTATATATCAAATAACAATCCCAATAATCATAATTTTAAAATCATTCCCAAACGTCTAGCATGAATTCGAGGTTCAACCAAAACTTAAACATAGTTCGAAAAGTGAAAGCAGTAAATAATCCAAAGTATGATAGCAAAGTAAATAAATAGCAAGTTCATGCGGAAGCATAAGATTTCGACACATAATGACCACCATCTCGCTCGTCCTACATCACCGCCTCCAGCTCGTCTCAACCTAGAACAGAGGAAGAGAGAAGACAACAAAGAAAATAATGGGGGTAAACAACCAATAAGCTCACCATTATCGTACGATTATTCCGTATAAAAATTTTACAAACAAGTAATCGCAGTGTACAATATCAATACTGGTATGCATAGAATTCATAGCCTAAACCCCCTACCCGGCCCTATCGCAAACCTCCTATTTACATACAACAACCTTCCGACCAAACATCGGCAAGGTCGTAACTGGAAAATTTCCCCCACCCCGAACTACTCACGGATCATGGGAGTCCACCCCGAACTACACGGATCATGGATGTTTTCCAGGAGACAATGGAGATGTTTTTCCCCCCCGAAACTCACACGGATCAGGGCGTCTCCTCCCGGATACTCCTCAAATCACATTCACAATTTGGCTACAAGGAAAAGAAATCCATTGATTAAAATATTATTTTGTCAGTAGTCTTAATGTACAAGAAACTTTAAAACTTCACTTGAATATTATAAAACTTTTATTGAACATTGTACAATTTCTTGCATATTATAAACTTTTATTGAATATTGCATCTTATAATATAATATTCTCCAAATAAATATATCTCGTGCGGTCATGTACTATATATATCCCGTACATTTTTTTTTTATTCATGTATATAATTATAAGTCTGGATAAATAATCTTAAAACTCTGTACTAGTAACAACTTATTTTCCTAATGTCAAATAAACACATAATGATTAAAAATTTAAAGCAAATGTAAAGTTGGCAGTGGAAATAAATAATTCTCATTTCATTTTTGGGGAGTCTCATTTTAGTTTGCACAAAAATGAGAAATAAAATCGTATGGTTGATTGGGGAGTCTCAGTTGACTCCTGCAATCAACTCCTCGTTCATCTGCAAACTTCTATATTTCAATCTTCTCTTTCATTCAATCATTTGTCTTTCTGCAACACACAGCTGTCAAAAAGGACTAGCAAAGGGCCACCCATATTCACTGCTTATTGCAAAAGGACACATTTTTCATCTACCCCTTTACTGCCCTTTTCTTACCCCCAAGCAAGCAACAAAAGCCGCATATGCTGATATGCCTCACTGAAAATTCATGAAGCTTTCAGAAAGTCGGGCCTTTTTCTCGAGCCCTGGTGCTTTAAACCATCCCTTTTTGCTGGGTTGGTGTCAGATTCTGGTAATTCGGCCTATTTTAACAGGGCCCCCTGAAAAATCATACAATTTTTTGTTTGGATAATTATTAGATATTTTTTCTCCGTTCTCGGCAGTTCTCCATAGTGATTCTATTGTCTTGTCTGATAAAATTCTTGCTTGGTGAGCTGTTTTTGAGATGGAATTGTTCATGTCCCCATCTGATTTTACATTGGGAATTGTTTGCAGTTTTTATATGTAGCTGCTAGATACTGAAGCTTTACATTGTAGTCATAGTTCCTCAACCCATCCATCTGTTTTTCGAATTATCGCCTTATCGGTTATTTACCCGTATTTCTGTCCTTAACATAGCAAGGAAAAAGAAAAAGAAAACCCAAATCTTCTATTTATTTAGCCAATTTGCCGTTTCAAGTTTAACTCTCCCTTCTTCACAATACAACACAAACTTCATTGCTTGGCATTTCGTTGATTGTTTTTCACCATTATAATCACTCCACACCCTCAAGAGCCCTTACTCTCCCTTCAATCCCCACAAGAAAAACCATGTTTAACCACTAGCTAAGATAAAGGGAAAAAAAAAATAATAAATGTCTATTATCTGCGGTTTGCCCCTTCTCGAGTGCGTCTACTGCCTAGCCTGCGCCCGTTGGGCCTGGAAACGCTGCCTACACACAGCGGGCCACGACAGCGAGACGTGGGCCCACGCCACGCCAGAGGAATTCGAGCCCATTCCCAGGCTCTGCCGCTACATACTCGCCGTTTACGAAGACGACTTACGAAATCCTCTCTGGGAGCCTCCTCGTGGCTATGGCATCGACCCCGACTGCTTGATCCTCAAAAAGAACTACGAGGACACACACGGGCTAGCGCCCCCCTATCTGGTGTACCTAGACCACCCGCATGCCGACATAGTTCTTGCCATAAGAGGCCTTAACCTGGCTAAGGAGAGCGATTACGCGGTTTTGCTCGATAACAAGCTCGGGAAGAGGAAGTTCGATGGGGGATATGTTCATAACGGGCTTCTGAAGGCTGCGGGCTGTGTGTTGAATGCCGAGTGTGATGTTTTGATGGAGTTGGTGGAGAAGTACCCGAGTTATACTCTGACCTTCACGGGGCACTCGTTGGGGTCAGGTGTGGCGGCTTTATTGACTATGGTGGTGGTGCAAAATCGGGATAGGCTGGGGAATATCGATCGGAGAAGGGTGAGGTGCTACGCTATTGCGCCCGCCAGGTGTATGTCGCTTAACCTGGCGGTTAGGTATGCTGATGTCATCAACTCTGTCGTTCTTCAGGCGAGTTCTTTTTTTTTTTTTTTTGGTTTATGTGTGTTGTTTCTTGTTTGATTCGTTTTTGAAGGAGTATGTTAGGAGAAGTAATGATTATGAAGTGAAGAGTTATCTGAGCATCTTTCTATTAATGGCGCAGATTTTCTCTGCCTGTGATGTTGAATTTGTAGCTTGTAAAATGTTATCTCTAAAAAATTTTAAATCTCTATGACTTGGATTGGTGTTTAGGCCCCCTTTGAGTTCAATGTGTGTTTGATGTTTTTGAAACCGGGTTTTTTCTTCATTTTGTTCCTAATATGCGTGAGGGTGAAAAGAATAGAACAATAGTAGAATCTCCGTAACTTATAATTTTAGAATCTCAGTAATTTATGATTTGGTCGTATTTTATTCTCTCTAGTGGTTCTTGTTTTCATTTGAGCTTTTTTTTCTTCCCGTTTGAATGAGTTGAGCATCTGATGATCTGACTTCATGTAGTTTTAGTTAGTAGTCGAAACTCGTAAAAAACATTGCTTTCTGGCCTGCTCAACCATTATATTGAAGTTCAGCATATACGTTGATGCTATTCAGATATATATATTTTTATTTTTATTTTTTTCCTTTTTTAACTGAACAGGATGACTTTTTGCCCCGAACAGCTACCCCTTTGGAAGATATATTCAAGTCTCTTTTCTGGTAAAAAACAGAAAAGCAATTCGTATGTATTTTAATATATATTTTAAAATATGTTACATTATATTATAGTTTTGTGAACAGTTTACCTTGCATATTATGCCTGAGATGTGTGAGGGATACATTCATATCCGAAGACAAATTTCTTAAAGATCCACGAAGATTATATGCTCCTGGCCGCCTTTATCACATAGTCGAGAGAAAACCTTTCAGGTGGATTCACTACATTTCTTTCTTTCTTTTTTTTTTTACTTTCTCCTCCTCTCAAAGGTCACGCGTGCACTGAGTTTCCATGAGTGAATTTCATACGAACTTCCAAAACTTAAATTTTTCTGAATCCCCTTTTTGCTTATTAGATGTGGAAGATTTCCTCCCGTTGTGAAGACAGCCGTGCCGGTAGATGGGAGGTTTGAGCATATAGTTCTCTCTTGTAATGCTACCTCCGATCACGCCATAATCTGGATCGAGAGAGAAGCCGAACGAGCTCTAGAAGTAAGTTCACGTTTTTCTTTCTCTCTTTAAGGTTGTGTTTGATAAGCATATAAGCTAGCTTACAGCTTATTTAATTTAATTTACAAGCTTACTCTATTCAAATAAGTTTGGTTTGGTAGAACGAGTTTTTTAAAAAGCTCTAACTTACCTCATAAGCTTCTTCCTTCCTTGGTAGCTTTTCTAATAAGCCCAATTGAAATTTTATTTACCAAAAAATTTTATCATATAAGCTAGTTTTTCAGTCATAAGCCACAAGTTATCAGGATATGTTTATGTTTATGTTTGGTAGACAAATAAGCTAGCTTATAAGATTCTTGTATTCAAGTAAGTTTCGTTTGGTAGGACGAGCTTTTTTAAAAAGCTCGAGTTTATCTCATAAGTTTTTTTGGGTAGCTTTTCAAATAAGCTCGTTGAAATATTTATTTAAGCTAGTTTATCAGCTAATTTTATCAAACACTTTTATCATATAAGCTAGTTTTTCTGCTATAAGTCATGAATTATAAGATATAAGCTCGAAAATTACTTATAAGTTATAAGCTAGTTTAGCTAGTTTTTTACCAAACATACATTAGTCGAAATTCACTTAAAAAGCTATTAGCTAGTTTATGTTTATCAACTAGTTTTTGCTCGGTAAGAAAACGAGGAAAATAAAAATGGTTTTTGAGGTAAATTTTGACAATACAGTTGATGCAAGAGAAAGACGACACGTTGGAAATCCCGGCAAAACAAAGGATGGAACGCCAAGAATCTTTAGCCAAAGAGCACGTTGAGGAGTACAGAGCAGCCCTACGCCGGGCGGTGACTTTAGCAGTGCCCCACGCCTTTTCTCCCTCCAAATACGGCACGTTTGACGAGACGGATGACGAGGACTCACAACACTCAGGTGGGGATTGCTCCATTGGATCGTCGGCCCATAGCAGGAGACGGGAAAACTGGGACGAAATAATCGAGCGCCTCTTCGAGAGGGACGAGTCGGGTAATATGGTGCTCAAGAAATCTATGATTGTTTGTTGAGAGGGCTGCATCATCGTTTTTGTCTCTTTCTTATTCTTTTAATTAATTTGTTTTAATATATATGTATATTTTTTTTTTCTTTAGGTTGAGACTTGAGAGAGTGTGTGTACTGTATAGTAATCTGTTGTAATGTATGTGAAAGGGAGCATATAGATAGATTGTTGAAGGTAATAAATATATCATTGTACAACTTGCTCTTGGTTTGCTGTATAGAAGTTAATTTGACTTAAGAGTAATGCAAATTGTTTTGGTGATTTTATAATTTCAAAATTCAAGTTGCCATAATGACATCCCATTTCAAAATATGAGATGTTTGTTTGTTTTAACTGCAGTATTATCAAAGCAAAAAACATATCAAGCAAGAAATCTTGAAAAAATCCCCATTCTATATAGTTATGTTTCAATTTTTACTCATAAATTCTGCACTTGGCTAAATTGAGACCTTATCCTTTACATCATTAGTTTGTAAAAATGCATTTGGTTGTTCATATTTCACAACACTCAATACTATGAATATTTAAGGAGAAAAAAAACCATAATTTGGTTAGACAGATATGCATGTGTTCAAAACGAAAAGTCATTCTGTAGAAAACAATATAAAAAAGAATGATATTTCTTAACATACATATGCATTTTTTTTAAAGAAAAAATGATTGATAGACTCGCGTCACCATTAGATCGTTTCATAAAATTAGACTTATTTGGGGTTTGGAAGTGGAAAGTACCAAATGACATTGTCTTATTTTTGTTTTGGTTTGTTATTCAAAGATCATGTGTCGATGTTGAAGGCAATTCAGAGGATTATTCAAAGAGATTGAAACGTTCGAATCCAACATGTGCATAAGGAAGCAAACTACGCAACATATCATATGGCGAACTTGGCAGCTTCTATCCAGTTTGGGCTACAACGAGTAGTTTCCCCACCTTCGAGACTGAGAGTTTGGTCAGCGCATGATATTATTAGGGTGTCGTATTACCGTCGAGTCCTAACATAGGCCTTTGGCATCCTTCATTATACCAAAAAAAAAAAAAAAAATTGTTTAGTTTATTATTTATAGGGTTAATTGCAGGAAAAATCTTGACCTTTACTTAAATTGCAAATGAAACTCCACCTTCTCAATTTGACAAAACAATACATAACCTTTCAAAAATTTTGCAATTATGTCTCGAAAGAAGATTCCGGTCAACTGATGCTGACATGGCATGTCGGTAAATTGATGTGGCACCGGTTTTGTGATGTGGCAAAAAGACATTTTACACATAAGAGTCCATGTCATCTCACTTACATGTAGGAATGCCACGTAGATTGGGAAAAACTACTTTATTTGTACCAAAAAAAAGAAGAACAAAAGCAGAAACCTCTGCGATTCTATTCGGCGATTTTCTCTAAATGATGACGAAAGCAAAACGATGAAGAAGAAGAAAGAGAAGAACACAAATGGCCCATTACAAGATATCAATGGCCGATTATTACCCAATATCGATAATCTCAGCACCAAAAGACCTTCAAATTTTGCTTCCTTTTCGTCATCTTCTTTAGCTTCCGTTTCTTATGAAGCTCCAAGAACAAAATGCTATTCAATAAAACCTTCTCCCTCCTCAAAAACCTCAAATTCATCATCTTCCTCAAGACCCCATTTTCCGAAAATGCTGAACACTAACATCTCCAGAATAGCAAGTGCACCAAAGCTGCTTTCAAATCCAAAGCAAAAGATACACACAGAAAACCCTTTTCACTTATGTAGAAAAGGGACCCACCCCACAACCATAATCAAAGAAACATTGCTAAACCCATTTGCAAAAATGGTCAAAGATCAAAACTTGCACCAGCTCCGAGCAAAATAGCGAACAAATTCGAAAAGGGGCCTTCAAAATTTCGATCAAAGTTGAAGAAGATCTCGCAAGACAAGAGCCCAACTTCAGGTAATCTCATTAGCAATCCGAATTCTGATGAGAATTTTAGTCCCTTGGGAAAATTCGATTTAGATCCCGTAAATTTTGAGACTGAAATAGTGGATTTTTCATCCCATAAAGTAGTTAAAGAGAATATTAGTTGTTGTACTGCTGTCAAAACACCCCCTGTTGAGGTCTCATTATCTCCTGAGATCCAATCATAGTCCCGTTCCAAGATTCTGGTCTTGAACTCGAAGTTGACGACCCCGGTTTTTTACGGCGCTGGTCACCTCATCTGGGGTGTAACTGACTGAAGAAAAAGCAGGCGTAGGGGGAGTCTTAAAGGAGGTTTCGAAAAAAGCCAATCTTTTTCACGAATAAGGTGACTCGATTGAAGATTCTCGGAATTTCCCAATTTCTGTGATAGCTGAGGCCTCAGTCCGGTGGGTCTTATCCCCATGTGATGAGGAGAATGAGGATTTAATCATGTTTCGTCTGAAAAAGCATCTAATTTAATGTGCCTTAATATTGGTGATTATTCTGCATTATCAATTTAATGTGTAAAATGACTTTTTGCCACGTCACAAAACCGGTGCCACATCAATTTACCGACATGCCATGTCAGCATCAGTTGACCGGAATCTTCCTTCGAGACATAATTGCAAAATTTTTGAAAGGTTGTGTATTGTTTTGCCAAATTGAGAATGTGGAGTTTTATATGCAATTTAAGCAAAGTTCAGGATTTTTCATGCAATTAACCCTTATTTATACTTATAAAGGTAGAGGGAGATAAAAGTGAGACGTGGAGAGCAAAACACATCGGGGTAACAATGACGATGGTGACGGACCCGACTCTCGACGATGACAGGTGGGGATTGTTTGTAATGTACAAGCGCAAGTTTTGGTTCGAAGAGAACGATTATGACGTCCCTGAATCCTATTTCTACCAGAATGGCGAGGAGATTAAGCCCAATACCATCGAGCTGGTCAAGAAATTCCTCAAACAAGTCCGCGAATCCAGGGTATCTATCCCTAAAATCCTTCTTCTCGTTCTCTGTCCCCGTACTGATTCTACCGGTGGTTTTTATTTATTTTTTTGTTGAAATCCGATTGTTTATAGTTAGGGTTTTGCTCGCCTACTTGGTTCATCCTTAATTTAATGTGTTTGGGGCGCTCTAAGCTGCTGCATCTGGTTTATATACTCGTTAATTTTGTTTAATTATATTTTTTTATGTTGGTTTGCCTTATTTTTTGTTTTTGTTTTCTGAAATCAGGTTTATGCTTTGTTTGCTATGTTGTACATGGATGTGTGTGTGTATTAGCTTAGCTGATGCAGAGTTTGAGAGTTGATCTAAAAGGATTTTGAACTATAGCAGTATTGGTTTTGATTGTCATTTGTCAATCTCCTGCTTGTAATTTCATTTCTATATATGATTGTTAATTCTAGTGTATTTTATTAGTTAACAAGCATCAAAACTATTTGCAGGGTTCTATTGTTTGATTGAAATGGATGATGAGCTGCTTCTGATTTTTGTAGGGTTATGACGTGGATTGCTACCCGCCTCCGATGTTTGAATCTCCATTCTCACCACTTCCACTGGAAGAGATGCGCAATAGTGATAAACGCGGCTATGCTAGAGTTGTCGGAGCAGCCAAGTTAGCAATTCAGAATATCTGTCAAGAGACTGTGCGTTTCTAATCTGCCCTTAAATATATTTTGCTTTGTAATGTTATCACCTCAAATCATGAACATCATTCTTGCCTTATTTTGCTTCAATTTTTATTTTTATTTTGTTCAAAGCTTGGTTGCTCCATTGTCTAAAAGTCTAAATTACAACAGGGTCACAGATATAAGCTTGTTAAAGTCGAGAGGGCTGTCTTTGTCCTGACCAGGCCCTGGGTGTACTTCTTGACTTTGACTGCCGAGGAAGATGGTGGCCCTGTGCAAACTATTCAAGCCGAGGTCTGCTACTCCATTGATGACCATCCAATCCTTCAAGAGTGGAGGTTCAAACCACTCCCTGCTCAAAATGCCTGTAAGAAAATGCTTGTTATAATTTAAATATTTATGGTGAATGTATATGTGGAATTGTAGTACACTATTTAGCAAGCCAGACTTGTATTTCTAACACCGCCGCCTTTTGGGTAAGAAGAAAATCATTACTTTAGATGGGGTTTTGTTGATGGCTGACCTGCACCTTAGCTAGTTGTAAACTTTCTTTCTCGTGCAAGTATGTCAAGCCCGAACAATTACTCCAACTTTCGTCGTATTAGTGTATTGTGGGATAGGTACCCTCTGTTATTTGTCCATTCGTCCTTAGAGCCGTCAATACTTGCCGAGGGGGCGGGCTCTTAGAGGATGCTTGGATAATTTGGGTCTCTGCATAATTTGGCATAAAAAAATTTAAATCCAGAAACTTTACGCCTCCCAATACACGGAGAAAACCATCAGGAAGCGTTCAGCAATCTAAGACCCTACCCCCGATTTCAATTCTAACGACATCTTCGTAAGAGTGTGTGTGTGTGTGTGCGGGTACGATTGATATTTTTTATTCCTTTGCAAATGTGTGTGTTGAAGGTTATGTAGCTGATGCCGACAAGGCAAAAAGATCTAGCCAGCAGCCGCCACTGTATGCACTGAGAGCTGGAAGTTGGCATGTGACAAATCTCAATATCCAGTTTGCGAGGTCTCTCACTGCTTATATCTTTTCACTCACTCATTCGTTTTTTTTTTGTTTTTTTTTTTGTTTTTTAATTATTAATGCTTGGAGTACTGATTTGCTAGTTATCTGAGTTTCTTGAGTTAGCTGTAGTGATTGGGTGCTTCGTTCTGGGGTGGACTGCAGAACTTTTGGTTCAAATTACTGAACTGTGGCCATCAGTTTTGTGTAACGCTTGTACTTTGTGTGGACCCGAGCTTATCTTAGATGGATGAAATTGTTTGTAGCAGGGTGGAGTTGCAAACATTGACATTTTGTGTGCTGGGTTGACGTCAATAATTTGACACTGTCATGCTTAAGTTGGCAAAAAGTTTTCTGTTCCTAAGGTCATGTCTCTATGTTTAACTGGAATGGAATGCTGTTGGCAGTACCACAAGTTTGAAAGTTATATACTGAGGTTTTATTTGTATCAGTTCATGTTCTTTTGCTTGCTTTCTCTGCTATGTTATGTGTCATAGATTGGAAGTTTGTGAGTAATGTGATTTATATCAATGCCTGAGATGTGCTGTAGCAGTGTAGTGGACTTCTTCTATTTCGTTCTGACATGGTTTAGATTTGTTTTGTAATGTTGTGAACTCTTATATGATCAGTTGGACACAAAGTCAATTACAAAACCATCCAGATGAGTGTTGGGAGGATGGAGTGCAGGATTACTTAAACCGTGCTGAAAGCATCATGGTAATTTCTCAGTATCTGCAATTTTACTCAGTATCTCTAAGTCATCTAGTGCACCATTCGGCTGTGATGAAGTCATCCTGGGGGGTCATTTCTATAGTTTTAGTTGTTATATGGGAATATTTTGTGAATACGAGGATGTCGACCTGACATTATTTGGTGAACGTTTTTGTTTATGTAAGTACTTGGCAGTCTCATTATCCTTTGGCCAATTTGTTTTGGTGTAAAAGAGCATGCGGCAGACATTGATTGTGACTCTTGGCCAGCATTTGGTGCTATTCATACTAAACATATATTTTTCACAAAAAGCTCTTGTAAAGTATGTGGTTGAAATTTTAAACAAACATTAAAATTTAATTATTAGTACTGCTAGACCCCATAAAAATTCTGACCCTGCCATCCTCATGGGATTGTCTTATCCTATTTGAATCCTTTAGAATCACTACCACTATTTGTTGTGTAGTTTTTGACCATGAGTGGCTCCGTCAGTTATTCACGTGTTATCAAATATTGATTATATGAGAGGTGTCTAATGCTTTCTAGTGGAAGTGCAAAGGTCCACCGCATGTAGTGGCCAGATTAAAATCTCTCTCTCTATCTATCTATCTATCTATCTCTCTCATCCTCACCGTATCCAACCTCTATCTAGGAGCAATGTTCAGATTAATTAATTAATCATTATTCTTTTTGGCATCCTTTTCACTGATACATCACAATTTTGGGTACTTAAATTTTTAGGTACAAAAGTAACTTTCTGTAGTTTACTGTTAGTGTACTGACTTGTCTTCAATTGCAGGAGAATTTTGGTGATGCTGTTAATTGGTTGAGAACAAATGCCGTGAAAGGAAGGGGTATAGCCAAGATTCCATCTGAAGATGCTCGGACTAAGCCTCTATGGAAACCTGCACGTCTCTATGATGATAATGGCCATTTCACATTTGGAGGTATTATTTCAATACAATTGACGGAATGTATAACATATATATACATATATATATGTGTGTGTGTGTGTATATATATTCACTATGTAGCGTGTATCTACTGCATGCAGTCGTAAATGGTGCATTGTGAAATTAAATATTGATTACAAGATTTGATGTATGTGTTTGCAAGTTATTCAAGTATGAATATGTTCCCAAGTAGAATATTTACAGAGTAGCTACCATAGTAGCTCTAATTCATAATATCTTAAGTATCTTTTTGTATCATTAGTTCGCTCTAGTTCATGATATCTTAAGTCTCTTTTTGTATCATTAGTTCCACTGCATACTGGGTTCCCATATGTGGGTGATTTAACAATACTTTTTCTCATTCAAATAAAGAATTCCGTACTGGTTTTTTTCTATCGATAAATGATGTTAGTTCAGTTGAGAGTGTACTTAATTCTTGAGAGTGTACTTAATTCTATACTCTGGTTCTTTACCCTCCATAATTGACGATGTATTTGAAAACTGTGATCATCTTACTTAATTTTGGATACTGCTTTGTGCTCATGGTCTCAGGAAGCGAGGTTTCAGTTCCTGGAATTGTAAATGCCAATGCTGTTACTTCAAATGAACTTAATGGAGGTAAGGGGTGATAAGGTCTTTATGATTAAATGATCGTCAATAAAGCTGTTAATTCTCTAGTTAATCTATGTCCACTTTATGATCATTCGTATTATAAGGTTTGAATGCTTGTTGCGTTTTTAATCAAGTTATCATTTGCTTGCATTTTGTTATGAAATTAATTTCAAGAGCTCAATGCCTATGTCCACAATACAAAATCCTCCTAGAATGACCTCAAATTGTGAGTTCAGGATGGAGATTCCTTGTAGACTGTCCCGAAAAATTGAAGTGGTTTAACGCTGATCAAAAGAGGTGGAAAATAGATGATAACCTGTGAAAGTAACTCATTTAATATTTCTTTGCCGTGCATCGGACGCGGTACGTACTAGTTTATTAAGAGCACAACAACAAATTTATACTTAAATTCTACAAAAAGAAATATGAAAGAGGAGTTTTATTTAACACGTTATTATAGTACTATTCACTTGTACAATTTATCCGTCTTATATTATAGTTTTAATTTATAATTTTATAGATATTGATATATAATTATATATTTTCAGTTGGTCTTTAATAGGTAATTTAATTGTTATAATAAAAGAGGACCTCAATTACTTTTTTTTCTTATTTTTGAGATACGTACTGGATAGGGTTTGGGTCCCTGCATAGTTTGGCATAAAAAATTTAAATTCAGAAACTATATGCCTCCCAATACACAGAGAAAACCAGAGAAAACCAGCAGGAAGCATTCGGCAATCTAAGACCCTACCCCCGTTTTCAATTCTAACGACACCTTCGTAAGTGTGTGTGTGTGTGTGTTTGCGGGTACGATTGATATTTTTTTTTTTCTTTGTCAATGTGTGTGTCGAAGGTTATGTAGCTGTGCAGACGCAGAGCAAGATAGCAGTAATGGGGTCTCAATTTGATGCCGACATGGGAGAAACATTTAACCGGCAACTGCCACTGGATGCACTGAGAGCTAAATCATCAAGATGGCATGTGAGAAATCTCAATATCCAGTTTGTGAGGTCTCTTACTGCTTATATCTTTTCACTCACTCATTGTTTTTTTTTTTTTTTTTTTTTAATTATTAGTGCCTGGAGTACCGATTTTGCGAGTTATTTGAGTTTCTTGAGTTAGCTGTAGTGATTGTGGTGCAGACTAATTATTATTAGTATTATGCAATTAATATTATTTAATAATTTGTAGTTAGTTTGGAGAATAAGCTAGGGTTTAATTTGAGGGTTTTATTTAAAGGGATCTTATGCTTTGTTATTAAGTAGTTTATTTGAATGAAATAAGATATTGTTGAGTTTTGTGAGTTTTATGAGAGAGTATCTCGTTTATGTTTCCCACTCGTACGCCTTCCCTACATCAGATTGTGCTTCGTTCTGGGGTGGACTGCAGAACTTTTGGTTCAAATTACTGAACTGTGGCGATCAGTTTTGTGTAATGCTTGTACTTTGTGTTGACCCCAGCTTATCTTAGATGGATGAAATTGTTTGTAGCAGGGTGGAGTTGCGAACATTGAAATTTTGTGTGCTGGGTGGACCTCAGTAATTTGACCTTGTCATGCTTAAGTTGGCAAAAAGTTTTATGTTCCTAAGATCGTGTCTTTATGTTTAACTGGAATGTTGTTGGCGGTACCACAAGTTTGAAAATTAGATACTGTAAAATCATCTAAGGTTTATTTGTATCAGTTCATGTTCTTTTGCTTTCTTTCTCTGCTAAGTATGTGTTGTGACTACTGTGATTTATATCAATACCTGAGATGTGTGCTGTGCTGTAGTAGTGTAGTGTACTTCTCCTATTTCCTTCTGACATGGTTTAGATTTGTTTGGTAATGTTGTGAACTCTTACATGATCAGTTGGATACAAAGTCAATTACAAAACCATCCAGATGAGCTTTGGGAGGATGGAGTGGAGGATTACTTATTCCATGCTCTATGCATCAGGGTAATTTATCAGCATCTGCAATTTTACTCACCATCTCTAAGTCATCTAGTGCACCATTGGGCTGTGATGAAGTCATCCTGGGAGGTCCTTTCTATAGTTTTTTAGTTATTATTATATGGGAATATTTTGTGATTACAAGGATGTCGACCTGACATTATTTGGTGAACTTTTTTGTTTATGTAAGTACTTGGCAATCTCATTATCCTTCGGCCAGTTTGTTTTGGTGTAAAAGAGCATGCGGCATTGCGACTCTTGGCCAGCATTTGGTGCTATTCATACTAAACATATATTTTTCACAAAAAGCTCTTGTAAAGTATGTTGTTGAAATTTTAAACAAACATTTAAATTTAATTATTAGTACTGCTAGACACCATAGTAATACTGACCCTGCCATCCTCATGGGATTGTCTTATCTGATGTGAATCCTTTAGAATCACTACCACTATTTGTTGAGTATTTTTGGACCATGAATGGCACTGTCAGTTATTCATGTGTTGTCAAATGATTGATTATATGAGAGGTGTCTAATGCTTTCTAGTGGAAGTGCGAAGGTCCACCGCATGTAGTGGCCTGAGTAAAATCTCTCTCTCTCATCCTCTCTGTATCCAACCTCTATCTAGGAGCACATGTTCAGATTAATGAATTAATCATTTATTCTTTTTGGCATCCCTTTCACTGATACACCACAATGAGTGAGGAGACAAATTTTGTGGAACTTAAAATTTTAGGTACAAAAGTAACTTTCTGTAGTTTACTGTTAGTTACTGTTGTCGTCAATTGTAGGAGCTTTTTCGTGATGCTGTTAATTGGTCGAGAACAAATGCCGTGAAAGGAAGGGGTATAGCCAAGAATCCATCTGAAGATGCTCGGACTAAGCCTCTATTCGGAATTGGCAAAAGCAGTCATACATTGTTTCGCCCAACATTGTTTTCGGACAAACCTATGTTTCCTGCAGCCACAACAGCAAGCTCTGGAACCCCAGGGAGACCTGCACTTCTCTTTAATAATGGCCCTTTCACATTTGGAGGTATTATTTCAATATAATTGATGGAATGTTTATATATATATATTCACTATGTAGCATGTATCTACTGCATGCAATCGTAAATGGCGCATTGTGAAATTATATATTCATTACAAGATTTGATGTATGTGTTTGCAAGTTATTCAAGTATGAATATGTTCCCAATTAGAATATATAACAATTAGTTCCATGATATCTTAAGTCTCTTTTTGTATAATTAGTTCCATTGCATACTGGGTTCCCATATGTGGGTGATTTAACAATACCTTTTCCCATTCAATCATTAGTTCCACTGTACTGGGTTCCCATATGTGGGTGATTTAACAATACTTTTTCTCATTCAAATAAAGAATTCCGTACTGGTTTTTTTCTATCGATAAACGATGTTAGTTCGGTTGAGAGTGTACTTAAATTCTGTACTTTGGTTCTTTACCCTCCATAATTGACGATGTGTATGAAAACTGTGATCATCTTGCTTAATTTTGGATACTGCTTTGTGCTCATGGTCTCAGGAAGCGAGGTTTCAGTTCCTGGAATTGGAAATGCCAATGCTGTTACTTCAAATGAACCTGATGGAGATAAGGGGTTATAAGGTCTTTATGATTAAATGATGGTCAATAAAGCCTGTTAATTTCTCTGGTTAATCTATCACGGCTTATGTCCACTTTATGATCATCCGTATTATATGGTTTGAGTGCTTGTTGCGTTTTTAATCAAGTTATCATTTGCTTGCATTTTCTTATAAAATTAATTTCAAGAGCTTAATCAAGTTATCATTTGCTTGCATTCTCTTATAAAATTACTTTCAGGAGCTCAATGCCTATGTCCACAATACAAAATCCTCCTAGAATGACCTCTAATTGTGAGTTTAGGATGGAGATTCCTTGTTGACTGTCCCGAAAAATTTAAGTGTGTCACCAATCTTAACAAGGATTTATTTAATGTGCATTAATACTGATTAGACTTGGATTCATCTCATTTTTGCTCGTCGCACAGATATTACCAAGACTGTATAGGAATATCATATACAAATCCCAATAAAGATGAGTACTGGCAAGCAAATGTCTTTGTTATCATATTCAAAATGTTGCTGCTAGAAAGTACACCACAAAACAATCTTTAGAAACAAAATAAATTTATCTTTCCTGCAAACAAAATAAATAGAATCAATCAGCAAATTCTTGCATAGAAACTTGTCTTAGTTGTCCAAGACAACCTTCTTTACAATTGAAAGCCCAGAAATTTATTTATTCTTTACAATTAAAAAAAAAATATGGGTTAAATGAATTACGAGAATAATTGGATTTAGAGACAATACCTGGGCCATTGGAATTGAGGGCCAATATTGAATGAACCTTTGGTTTCTGCTTTTTGATAATCTTTGGATAGGTTTTCGAAAAAATTGAAAATCTTGGGTGTAAATAAGCAAAACCCAAAAAGATAGACCCCTATTCCAGGGATAAAAAGAGAACAGAGGGGGCAAATGGGAAAAAGAAAATAGGACAAAATATGATTTTAATTGTACTATTAAATGCTACTAGCTGCATCTTTTGACATTTTTAAAGTTGTTGCAAACTTGCAATTTATATTGCAAAGGTGTGTTTGTATACAAACATATGCACTCAAATTGATATTTTTTGTTAACCATTGTTAACTTGAAAAAGAAATGGTATTGTTAGTTGTTAGTGATTGTCATGTACTTGATACATGAAGACAAATAAAAAAAAAGGAAGACAAAGAAAGGCCTAATTGCTTTTTGCCCCTTTTTTTTTTTGTTGCTTTATAATGATGTTCATTGTTTTCTTGTTAGTTGTTACCAGTCGAGTGATCCATCCAGCTGACCAAGGTGCTTGGAAATATAAAGGCACGGGGCCAACTTCGTATCAAGTGCAAGGAAGGCATCAGTAAGGGCACAAAGGAATCTAAACCAACCATAGTTAATTATACTCGATGATGTAGGATCCACTCTCATATTTTGTAATTTTTTGTTCAATTACTTACCTATTTTTCACCCTTATTTATTTAATTATCAATTGTGTCATTTTTCGTGGAGTTAATAGAATACGATTCCGAAATTTGTATCCCAATTTTTCTGCAGGGGTTTCACATATATTTGCTATTGAATGAGGTAATATGGCCTTATAGGAATTTTAATTAGTGCAGTTAATACAATGTAGCTTGATGCTGTTGCCTTCCAACAAAACGACAAGCTACCATTCTTATTATCACACTCCATGTAATATGCGTCTTTGCATATCCTATGACTGTTGCAGGTGAGAAAGCTGCTGCTCGATGCTTCGGAGATCGGAGGAGTTTACCCAGCGACAGAGATAGCTTGATGGAAACCCTCGTTTTTTCTCCAAATGCTTATTTTTTCGTTACTTTCTGTGGATCTGTAAAAATTATTATGTTATTACTGTCTTCTCGAGGAATGACTTCCTCTGTATTAGAAACTGCACCTAGTAAATACTTTTGTTGATATGGAGTTGTACTTTTTTTTCCAATTTAAAACCATTTGTTTATGTTTATTGTACACACAAACAAACAAAAAAAGGATATATTTGAATCTTGAGAGACTGCTTAGATAGGCATTTTCTTCTGTAGGGGTGATATTAAGCATGTTGAGTTGTTTGGTAATATTCTGTCTCAGTATGGGCATGACTCGGGTAAATCAGTCGACTTTGACAAATCTTCTATCATGTTTTCAAAAAATACTCAGGAAGGACTCATTAAAAACATATGTTCTACCTTGTCTGGAATCTCTAGAGTGGAGTCCTCTAAGTACCTAGGGTTGCCTTTAGGCATTGGGAGTTATGAGGGGGAGGTATTTGTTGGGAGTTACAGAGCTCATCCAACAGGTCTTTGATCCTTCTGAAGCCGCACTAATCCTCAAGTTACCCCTATCTTCTCATGGTGGTTCTGACAAACTTATCTGGCATGTGAGCCCCAAAGGTATGTTCTCAGTAAAAGCAGTGTACAAAACAATTCTTGATTCTATAGTTACTGCTCAGGCAGAGGCAAGCTCTAGTATGGTTCCTGTAGCTCTGACCCGTATGTGGAAACTGACTTGGAAGTTGCCTGTTAAGCCTAAGGTGAGAACTTTTTTGTGGAGGTGTTGGCATGGTTATATTAGCACTAAGGCTCAGCTGGGGAAGAGGGGAATGGATGTAGACTTGGTGTGTGCTGTCTGTGAGGATGGTGTAGAAGATCTTAATCATGTTCTTTTTAACTGTCCTAAGGCTAAAATTTGTTGGAAGCTCAGTGGGGTTTTTTGGAAAAATCAGGATGCAATGGCAAGTAATTTTCAGAAGTGGTGGTATGAGCTCTGTAATGCATGTTTAATGAAGCTGAAGAAGGATAGGATGTGCCTCTCTGCTTTCTTGTTGTGGAATATGTGGAAGGCCAGAAATAAATGCGTGTTCAAGGGAGATTGGATACATGAGAGGGTGATAGTGGAAGAAGCTAAAGCAGAATGGTTAGAGTGGAGTGGTAGGTTAGATTTGGTTGCTATTCTTCAGGACTCAAGTGCGAAGATGATTATGCCTTCATCCGAAGTAGGTCAGCTATTAATGACTACAAGTTCTTCTTTTTCTGTGGAGAAGGTGACTTATTTGTCCTGCTCTATTCATCTAAAAGAGTCTACAACTCTGAACTATCAGCAGCAACTCCAAGGAGCAGGAAATCAGATGGAAGCTTGCATCCTTGTAGTCAAATGGTGTCTTCGTAAAGCTAATGAGATGAAGATTTGTGAATTCAATTGTGTGATAGAACCAGATGACTTGGTGGAAGCTATTTCTAATAGGAAGGTCCCTGAAGGAGTAGAGGAAGAGCTTATGGTTGAGTTGTTTGGTCTTTTGTATAGCTGTTATGTTAGGGTAATCTCTTGTTTTTAGTTGGTGTTTTTGGTGTTGTAGTTGTATGGCTTTATTGCCTTGTAGGGCCTGGCTGTGCTCTTGCCCGTTCATTTGGTGTATTTAGTTAGGAGACATAGATGGTTTAGTCATTTGGCTATGCATGTATCAGTACTGTGTATGATTTTGAGTTTTATCAATTTCTTTGTTGCCGTTTGAAAAAAAAAAGACTTATACATAATAATAATGAATAATGTTTCTCAATTGACTTATATATTACATAAATAAATAATATTAACGTGCATTAAATATTTTTCCTTACATAAATTAAAAATAATAAAAAAAGATGTACAGCTTTTATAAATAATAATGACATTGTATGACAATAAAGTTTTTAATAACATAATAATTAGGTATTATATGGTAAACAAGATTAAGTAAAATTATTATTTTACAAGCTAGTTCTGATATAGTCATATTTAGTGTTATGACTAAAAAAACTATACTGATTAAAAGAGGTGAAAAATAAATTATAACCATATTTTTAGACTTAACGTTGATTAAAAGAGGTGGAAAATAGATGATAACCAGACTTAAAAGGACAAAGTCTGTGTGAAAATAACTCATTGAATATTTAGTCATAATACTAAATGAAGGATTATATAATATGTATTATATATTAGAAAAATGCTAATAGAATCATTCCAATGTAAACTTTTAATAAAAAACTGCTTTGACTATATCTAATTGCCTATATCAAAACCAAAATATATAATGGCTTATATGGGAACTCTCGACCGACTTAGCCTATATATTCACTTGACATGTATTGAGTTGGATTGCATAGTTATTATAGATTCATTATAAAAGTGAGACGTGGAGAGCAAAACACATCGGGGTAACAATGACGATGGTGACGGACCCGACTCTCGACGATGACAGGTGGGGATTGTTTGTACCGTACAAGCGCAAGTTTTGGTTCGAACAGAACGATTATGACGTCCCTGAATCCTATTTCTACCAGAACGGCGAGGAGATTAAGCCCAATACCATCGAGCTGGTCAAGAAATTCCTCAAACAAGTCCGCGAATCCAGGGTATCTATCCCTAAAATCCTTCTTCTCGTTCTCTGTCCCCGTACTGATTCTACCGGTGGTTCTTATTTATTTTTTTGTTGAAATCCGATTGTTTATAGTTAGGGTTTTGCTCGCCTACTTGGTTCATCCTTAATTTAATGTGTTTGGGGCGCTCTAAGCTGCTGCATCTGGTTTATATACTCGTTAATTTTGTTTAATTATATTTTTTATGTTGGTTTGTCTTATTTTTTGTTTTTGTTTTCTGAAATCAGGTTTATGCTTTGTTTGCTATGTTGTACATGGATGTGTGTGTGTATTAGCTTAGCTGATGCAGAGTTTGAGAGTTGATCTAAAAGGATTTTGAACTATAGCAGTATTGGTTTTGTTTGTCATTTACTCTCCTGCTTGTAATTTCATTTCTATATATGATTGTTAATTCTAGTGTATTTTATTAGTTAACAAGCATCAAAACTATTTGCAGGGCTCTATTGTTTGATTGAAATGGATGATGAGCTGCTTCTGATTTTTGTAGGGTTATGACGTGGATTGCTATCCGCCTCTGATGTTTGAATCTCCATTCTCACCACTTCCACTGGAAGAGATGCGCAATAGTGATATACGCGGCTATGCTAGAGTTGTCGGAGCAGCCAAGTTAGCAATTCAGAATATCTGTCAAGAGACTGTGCGTTTCTAATCTGCCCTTAAATATATTTTGCTTTGTAATGTTATCACCTCAAATCATGAACATCATTCTTGCCTTATTTTGCTTCAATTTTTATTTTTATTTTGTTCAAAGCTTGGTTGCTCCATTGTCTAAAAATCTAAATTACAACAGGGTCACAGATATAAGCTTGTGAAAGTCGAGAGGGCTGTCTCTGTCCTGACCAGGCCCTGGGTGTACTTCTTGACTTTGACTGCCGAGGAAGATGGTGGCCCTGTGCAAACTATTCAAGCCGAGGTCTGCTACTCCATTGATGACCATCCAATCCTTCAAGAGTGGAGGTTCAAACCACTCCCTGCTCAAAATGCCTGTAAGAAAATGCTTGTTATAATTTAAATATTTATGGTGAATGTATATGTGGAATTGTAGTACACTATTTAGCAAGCCAGACTTGTATTTCTAACACCGCCGCCTTTTGGGTAAGAAGAAAATCATTACTTTAGATGGGGTTTTGTTGATGGCTGACCTGCACCTTAGCTAGTTGTAAACTTTCTTTCTCGTGCAAGTATGTCAAGCCCGAACAATTACTCCAACTTTCGTCGTATTAGTGTATTGTGGGATAGGTACCCTCTGTTATTTGTCCATTCGTCCTTAGAGCCGTCAATACTTGCCGAGGGGGCGGGCTCTTAGAGGATGCTTGGATAATTTGGGTCTCTGCATAATTTGGCATAAAAAAATTTAAATCCAGAAACTTTACGCCTCCCAATACACGGAGAAAACCATCAGGAAGCGTTCAGCAATCTAAGACCCTACCCCCGATTTCAATTCTAACGACATCTTCGTAAGAGTGTGTGTGTGTGTGTGCGGGTACGATTGATATTTTTTATTCCTTTGCAAATGTGTGTGTTGAAGGTTATGTAGCTGATGCCGACAAGGCAAAAAGATCTAGCCAGCAGCCGCCACTGTATGCACTGAGAGCTGGAAGTTGGCATGTGACAAATCTCAATATCCAGTTTGCGAGGTCTCTTACTGCTTATATCTTTTCACTCACTCATTCGTTTTTTTTTTGTTTTTTTTTTTGTTTTTTAATTATTAATGCTTGGAGTACTGATTTGCTAGTTATCTGAGTTTCTTGAGTTAGCTGTAGTGATTGGGTGCTTCGTTCTGGGGTGGACTGCAGAACTTTTGGTTCAAATTACTGAACTGTGGCCATCAGTTTTGTGTAACGCTTGTACTTTGTGTGGACCCGAGCTTATCTTAGATGGATGAAATTGTTTGTAGCAGGGTGGAGTTGCAAACATTGACATTTTGTGTGCTGGGTTGACGTCAATAATTTGACACTGTCATGCTTAAGTTGGCAAAAAGTTTTCTGTTCCTAAGGTCATGTCTCTATGTTTAACTGGAATGGAATGCTGTTGGCAGTACCACAAGTTTGAAAGTTATATACTGAGGTTTTATTTGTATCAGTTCATGTTCTTTTGCTTGCTTTCTCTGCTATGTTATGTGTCATAGATTGGAAGTTTGTGAGTAATGTGATTTATATCAATGCCTGAGATGTGCTGTAGCAGTGTAGTGGACTTCTTCTATTTCGTTCTGACATGGTTTAGATTTGTTTTGTAATGTTGTGAACTCTTATATGATCAGTTGGACACAAAGTCAATTACAAAACCATCCAGATGAGTGTTGGGAGGATGGAGTGCAGGATTACTTAAACCGTGCTGAAAGCATCATGGTAATTTCTCAGTATCTGCAATTTTACTCAGTATCTCTAAGTCATCTAGTGCACCATTCGGCTGTGATGAAGTCATCCTGGGGGGTCATTTCTATAGTTTTAGTTGTTATATGGGAATATTTTGTGAATACGAGGATGTCGACCTGACATTATTTGGTGAACGTTTTTGTTTATGTAAGTACTTGGCAGTCTCATTATCCTTTGGCCAATTTGTTTTGGTGTAAAAGAGCATGCGGCAGACATTGATTGTGACTCTTGGCCAGCATTTGGTGCTATTCATACTAAACATATATTTTTCACAAAAAGCTCTTGTAAAGTATGTGGTTGAAATTTTAAACAAACATTAAAATTTAATTATTAGTACTGCTAGACCCCATAAAAATTCTGACCCTGCCATCCTCATGGGATTGTCTTATCCTATTTGAATCCTTTAGAATCACTACCACTATTTGTTGTGTAGTTTTTGACCATGAGTGGCTCCGTCAGTTATTCACGTGTTATCAAATATTGATTATATGAGAGGTGTCTAATGCTTTCTAGTGGAAGTGCAAAGGTCCACCGCATGTAGTGGCCAGATTAAAATCTCTCTCTCTATCTATCTATCTATCTATCTCTCTCATCCTCACCGTATCCAACCTCTATCTAGGAGCAATGTTCAGATTAATTAATTAATCATTATTCTTTTTGGCATCCTTTTCACTGATACATCACAATTTTGGGTACTTAAATTTTTAGGTACAAAAGTAACTTTCTGTAGTTTACTGTTAGTGTACTGACTTGTCTTCAATTGCAGGAGAATTTTGGTGATGCTGTTAATTGGTTGAGAACAAATGCCGTGAAAGGAAGGGGTATAGCCAAGATTCCATCTGAAGATGCTCGGACTAAGCCTCTATGGAAACCTGCACGTCTCTATGATGATAATGGCCATTTCACATTTGGAGGTATTATTTCAATACAATTGACGGAATGTATAACATATATATACATATATATATGTGTGTGTGTGTGTATATATATTCACTATGTAGCGTGTATCTACTGCATGCAGTCGTAAATGGTGCATTGTGAAATTAAATATTGATTACAAGATTTGATGTATGTGTTTGCAAGTTATTCAAGTATGAATATGTTCCCAAGTAGAATATTTACAGAGTAGCTACCATAGTAGCTCTAATTCATAATATCTTAAGTATCTTTTTGTATCATTAGTTCGCTCTAGTTCATGATATCTTAAGTCTCTTTTTGTATCATTAGTTCCACTGCATACTGGGTTCCCATATGTGGGTGATTTAACAATACTTTTTCTCATTCAAATAAAGAATTCCGTACTGGTTTTTTTCTATCGATAAATGATGTTAGTTCAGTTGAGAGTGTACTTAATTCTTGAGAGTGTACTTAATTCTATACTCTGGTTCTTTACCCTCCATAATTGACGATGTATTTGAAAACTGTGATCATCTTACTTAATTTTGGATACTGCTTTGTGCTCATGGTCTCAGGAAGCGAGGTTTCAGTTCCTGGAATTGTAAATGCCAATGCTGTTACTTCAAATGAACTTAATGGAGGTAAGGGGTGATAAGGTCTTTATGATTAAATGATCGTCAATAAAGCTGTTAATTCTCTAGTTAATCTATGTCCACTTTATGATCATTCGTATTATAAGGTTTGAATGCTTGTTGCGTTTTTAATCAAGTTATCATTTGCTTGCATTTTGTTATGAAATTAATTTCAAGAGCTCAATGCCTATGTCCACAATACAAAATCCTCCTAGAATGACCTCAAATTGTGAGTTCAGGATGGAGATTCCTTGTAGACTGTCCCGAAAAATTGAAGTGGTTTAACGCTGATCAAAAGAGGTGGAAAATAGATGATAACCTGTGAAAGTAACTCATTTAATATTTCTTTGCCGTGCATCGGACGCGGTACGTACTAGTTTATTAAGAGCACAACAACAAATTTATACTTAAATTCTACAAAAAGAAATATGAAAGAGGAGTTTTATTTAACACGTTATTATAGTACTATTCACTTGTACAATTTATCCGTCTTATATTATAGTTTTAATTTATAATTTTATAGATATTGATATATAATTATATATTTTCAGTTGGTCTTTAATAGGTAATTTAATTGTTATAATAAAAGAGGACCTCAATTACTTTTTTTTCTTATTTTTGAGATACGTACTGGATAGGGTTTGGGTCCCTGCATAGTTTGGCATAAAAAATTTAAATTCAGAAACTATATGCCTCCCAATACACAGAGAAAACCAGAGAAAACCAGCAGGAAGCATTCGGCAATCTAAGACCCTACCCCCGTTTTCAATTCTAACGACACCTTCGTAAGTGTGTGTGTGTGTGTGTTTGCGGGTACGATTGATATTTTTTTTTTTCTTTGTCAATGTGTGTGTCGAAGGTTATGTAGCTGTGCAGACGCAGAGCAAGATAGCAGTAATGGGGTCTCAATTTGATGCCGACATGGGAGAAACATTTAACCGGCAACTGCCACTGGATGCACTGAGAGCTAAATCATCAAGATGGCATGTGAGAAATCTCAATATCCAGTTTGTGAGGTCTCTTACTGCTTATATCTTTTCACTCACTCATTGTTTTTTTTTTTTTTTTTTTTAATTATTAATGCCTGGAGTACTGATTTTGCTAGTTATTTGAGTTTCTTGAGTTAGCTGTAGTGATTGTGTGCTTCGTTCTGGGGTGGACTGCAGAACTTTTGGTTCAAATTACTGAACTGTGGCGAT